GTCTATTTTGTCTTCCATTTCAAAAAGCAAACAAAAGGATCAAATTATAATTTTAAAAGGCTTCAGAAATACACTTACATTACCTGCACTTAGGACATGTACAAATTTAGTAAGAAAAATTCTGGAGAAAAAAGATTGACTTATCCACACTATTATTGTTTATTTTTCTGGAAAGAGGCTTTCAAAACAGAAAAAGTCTTAAGTTAAACTAATCCACCCTTCTCCCCTTTTATGGGCCTGCCCCTTGGAAATTATAACCATTTGTACAAATAATTTTACTCCACAGTATATTTATTGAGGCAATGCATAATTAGTGGGGTCTTAACATCTTTCTAGCATTGCCATGGTCTGTGAAGAACTTAAGAGAAATGTGAGATATATTCTCTGCCCTCTAAGGACATTTCATTCTATTAATTTTAGAATTCTAGAAATAATGCCAGAGATAGTTTAAAAACTAAAACATTTTATTTTCCTGATGAGACATACTTGCAAACATGAATCTTAAGCAAAGGTACAATCCTGGATACTCTATTTTATTATTCACCTGGATGGAAATGGCCATCTTTGTGTCCAGACAGCACCTACTACCTTAGAATAACCAAAAGAATGGTTGTTCTCCTTCATTAGATTACTGGCTCACTACATCTTTGTTTAGAAGAAGATAGTTTCATTGCCCACTGTCACATTTTTATTTGTATTGATTAGGTCTATGTCCAATAGAAATGCATGCCCTGAGCCCCAAGAGATAGCATAAGAATAGTCATGGCAACACTATCTGAAGTAGGGACAAACTATAATCAACCCAGATGTCCAACACAGAAGAATGGATAAATGAATTGTGGTACACGTTTACAACAGAATACTGCAAAACAATGAAAATCAACAAACTGCTGTTACATTCAACAACATGGATGACAAATGGAAGAAGCAAGACTACAGAATACATCAAGTATGATTTCATTTACATAAAGTTCCCCAACACACAATACTAAACTATATGGATATATCTGGTGCATATGGGTGCACACCAAAGTGGTAAGACTATAAAAAAAGCAAGGAAATGATCACATAAAAAGTGAAACTAGAGCTTATTCAGAGAAGAGTGTGGGGAGAAGGTTCTGATTGGGAAGAAATTCTAATTCTTCTAATTCTCCTCCTCCCCCTCCTTCTTTTTCACCATAGGTGGCAGTTACAAGGGGTGTTTTCTCTTAGAACAATTCGTAAACTGTACATGTCACATTATCACTTTTTTATGAGTATATTATACTTCACAATAAAACACATCTAAAAACCCCACAGGTTACTATGCTAAATATTAAATACATACATATATACCTACATGTGTGTATATAAAACATACACTAAACTCTACTAGTTTCAAGAGAAAAAAAGAAGAGTGACTCTGTATTAGACTTCTCTTGTCATCCCCCTCGCTCCGGCTTCTGCTGAGCACAAAAGAGAGCAAACACACTTAAAAAATGAAAGCGATAAGGGCTTAAAAGTACACCAAAATATACCATTCCTTGTCATGAATGTTATTTGAGAGTTTGAAAGACTTATGTGGCTTTTTGGCTGATGGTGGAATTGCAGGTATATATTCCTAGTTTCTCCTTTGTCTATTGATATAACTTACTGATATAACTATGCTGAAGCAGCTCTTGAGAAAAATGGGCATCTTCCTGTCCTTACAGCTTAGACACAGAAGAAGCTGTACTTTGATCTTACACGTAATGGCCTGCCCCTAAGTTTCCTGCTTCTACCAGCAATGTTGATTCTAATCTTAGAAAAAGTCTGCTTCTTTGAAGAAAAAAAAAACACACGCAACAAAAACCCTGAGCTAACCCAGCCGTGTCCACCTATGATATGAGTTATCTGACTTAAGCCTTCATCAACCTATTTTTCTCCATGCTCCTGAATTAACTGGGCACTAGGTAATTGTGTTACCTTTTCATCTGCCCTGGATGAAACCCATAACAATACCTGAATACTGGTGATACGACACCCTCAAAGCCTCTTTCAGCAATGATCCCAATACAAATCTTGGTTAAAAGACTGACAATATCAAACTCTAACATGTCACACAAGAAAGAAACTGGGTTGCCCAACTGCCCACCTCTGTGCTCCAGGATACACTTTGTAAAAGGAGCACAGAAAAATACAGCAACTTTGTTCTCCCCTCTGTGATCATTATTATTGTATAGCTCCTGGGTAGGTCAAAATCAATTTTACATTTAAGAATACCTGAATATGATCTGCGCTCTTATAAGTTAAATTTCACTTTTCAAAATCAATACTCCCACATAATATCCTGGTGGAAACAATGTAGAGGGCAATACAGTTCACTCTTGATCTTCCAAAGGTTTATCCACAGCACAGCTTACTTCAAGCAAACCTTGATCCAAAGTTTGGTAAAATAACCAATTCTACTCAAGTCACATGTGGCCAACACTCTGTCTATTTAATCTAACAACCAGATTCCAGGCCTTAAAGGCAAAATAATTATTTGCCTCTCTTTAGTCTGGCAAAGATAAGCAATCTTTTTAAGCTGGTGCTTTATTTCACCCTGAGTTACGACTTCCTCTTATTGCTGTTTTTTTTAAATGAGACTAGGAATGCATTCTGCAAGGAAGAAAGGAAAAAGAGCTACAGAACAACCTTATAATGAAGTTGAATTACTCTACCTAAGTATGTCTACATTGTAGCTCATTACTTGGCTCAAAATACTATATGTCAAAGGATATTTCCCCAAATAGAACTATATACAATAAGAACATGATTTAAGAGGTACAGACCATAACTGGTAACCCTGTTCCCCAATATCACTGCTATGAATGGGGTCACACTGAATTAGTCTCCCAAAATATCTCTCACATTCAAATACAAATTCTAAGATATTTCAAAATCAAATCTCATTATGTTGGAAGTAGTTACCATTTGGCTTATATATACCATGGTTTCCTTCACTTATAATGAAATTTAAAAACTGACATACAGGGACTTCCCTGGTGGTCCAGTGGTTAAAGAATCCGTCTTCCAATGCAGAGGACGCAGGTTCGATCCCTGGTCACGGGACTAAGGTCCCATGTGCCATGGGGCAACTAAGCCTGCATGCTCTGGAGCCCACACACCACGACTAGAGAGAAGCCCCTGCACTACAACTAAGACCCGACACAGCCAAATAAATAAATAATCAAAAAAAGATTGACATACAGTATATGACTATTTTTATGGAGCAGAAACAAATGTGTTCTGGGACCATATTTAAACTTCATATATTAAAAAAGCATTTCAACAGAGGAGGGATAAAAATAATCCTCCTTACATTTGTAAGCAACTGGAATTCAAACCCAGGCCTTCTGAGTCCATGGCTGGTGTGCTTTCAACATACCACAGCTGTCCTTAGTTTCCTTAATAATGACTTATCCAAAATCTTTATATGAAAAAAGTGATTTTAGGAAACAACTGCAACATCCCAGGCTTTTGTTTTTAATTAGACAAATATGCATTCTCATTTGTTTCTATCACCCCTCCCAAACGATTCCTTACAGAATAAAATCTGAGTAAAAAAACATGAATTTTCTACTCAAACGTGTTCCCTAAAGGTTCCACCTGAAAAATATTATGAGAAATTAGAAGATCACAGCCATATGCCTCCTTTTTCTACTCCTCAGTGGCAGTCAGTGACCACAGAGTGACATAACTGATGCAAGAATAGGATCTAGAGCCTGCACATAATAGTATAGATTATTTTAATTGAACACTAGACCATAAATTAAGTGTAAACGGTTTCTAAATCAAATGTGGTTTAAAATTAATTAAATACTTACAGCAAGAAGCTTACTTGTTAATTCATTAAAGTCAAGATCACACTTATTCAGATAATTTCAACCATCCAGCAGCTTCAACTGCTATTTTATTTCCTTTAATTAATCTCTCTCAAGATACATATAAGCATATAGCAAAACCATCATTTTATCAGGTTATAATATTAGCTTTAAAATTTTATAGCCAGGGACTTCCCTGGTGGTGCAGTGGTTGAGAATCCACCTGTCAATGCAGGGGACACGGGTTTGAGCCCTGGTCCGGGAAGATCCCACATGCCTCGGAGCAACTAAGCCCATACGTCACAACTACTGAGTCCATGTGCCACAACTACTGAAGCCCGCGCACCTAGAGCCTGTGCTCCGCAACAAGAGAAGCCACCGCAATGAGAAGCCGGTGCACCGCAATGAAGAGTAGCCCTCGTTCACTGCAACTAGAGAAAGGCCGCATGCAGCAACAAAGATCCAACGCGGCCAAAAAATAAATTGATTAATTAAAAAAAAATTTACAGGCCAGCATGGTTATTTGTACAAATGCTGGAGTTCTGAGTTTTGATAAAGGGTGTCAACCATGTAAATTCACCATCTATGAGTAAACAGCTGTTGTTATATTTAAAATCAAGCTAAAAAAAAAGAATGTGTGTGTATGTGTGTATATATATATGTATAGCTGAATCACTTTACTGTATGGCAGAAATTAACACAATATTGTAAATCAACTATATTTCAATTTAAAAAAAAGGTAAAATCAAGCTTCCTTCAGTTTTTGGACAGCCAGTGATTGCTTAAGTAATGTGCTATGCAGACATAGAAAATAAAATTTTAAATACTTATCTTTGTGTCAAACTGTGTTAAACAAGGCAAACGAACAATTCTCATTCAATGCATAGCCCCCTCTGAGTTAGATATTTTAAAGATTACTAATTCAAAGACGGAATTCTAAAACAATCACCCAAAGCATGAAAAAAAGTCACCCTAGTGGACCAGAGTTTCATAAAACTAACTGCATAAGAAGCTATCAGTGTATGAAAATGGAATAGGAAAATCTGAGACACAAAACTTTGACTATCAGGAAAAATTTCAGCAAATATCAATAATTTAAAAAAACTTGGAATTGATTATTTTATATCCACTTGTGGTCTTTGATTGTTAATTGTTGCCTTTCAGTGACTGAATTACCTCTCATGCAGTGGCCTTGCTTAAGCTCAAAGCTGACAAAGTTGATGGAGAAGCTGCAGAGCAGAGAACCTCCCACCGAGGGCAGAGCAGGTAGTCTAGGAGAAGCTGCAGTTGGGTTTTCTTGAAGTCATGAGGTAACAGAGTTGTCGAGATCAGTGGTCCCCATGCTTGTCTGTTCATCGGAATCACCTGGGGAGTGAAAACACTCTTGACGCCTGGGTCCCACCTCCAGAAAGTGATTTAATTGGTCTGCATGTGGCCTGGGCTTTAGAATTTTAAAGAGATGTAGGTGATTCTAATGTGTGGCCAAATTTGGGAACAACTGGTCTGTATTCTTTTACGTTTTTAATCTTAAATTTTTTTTGACAAATTAGATTCATGTCCATTTTCTCATACTTCCTATATGTCTCATGGCATTTTGGGAAATCCATGGAAGTACTATGTGTTCTGGAACACTCGCACAACTGTACCCTGTACAATACAACTGAATTATTTATTATTGTCAAAAGGAGAATAAAACTAGGAAGAATAAAGGCATGAGTAAGCTGAATTTCATAAGATGTTTCTTCATGACAAGAATTACTACTGTATGTATGGAGTTTTTTTTCAAATCCAAGTCCTAGAAACTTTATTGCTTTCTATCCTAAAACCAGACAGAAGACTTAGAGGACACTGCCTACAATAATCTGTGCTTAAGTAATGATCTGGATTTGTGTGACCTATTCCAACTTTCCACTTTATCAGATGGAGCAGAGGCAGCTGCTGGAATGAGGAATAAGGAACTGGGTCTTACACATGAATAAACCTGTAGAGATACTAAGTTCATTAATGTTCTTTTTGGCAGGAATCAAAATGACTTAGAGGCAGCCAAGTTGAATTACAGGTTTGATTTACTTAGAGATACATGCTATGCGGACATCAGCATTTTTTTAAACCAGCCTCAAGGCAGGCTTGACAACAAGTGTGCAATCTCTTCCTTTCACAGTAAGATTCACTTTTATTTCCCTGTGGCTTCTCTGCCTCCTGTGGGGCATATGTCCAGACTAGAGGGGAAAGAAAATAGTTTTAAAAGTTAAAAATGTCAGTTTATCAATAGTGATTAATGGGGATACTAGATATCTTTGCTCCTTAAAAAAAAAAGCACCCACAACAGGTGAGTAGATTGACGCTGGAAAGCACATTACAGTGTCAGAGATTCATAGTAAGAACATGTAATTTCACTCTGATACATGGGGTTAACATGCTTTAAATAGACTGAAGTACTGAGCTGAAGGTATTGCTCCTTTGAAATTAAAACGACCAGATCATAATGAAGCTATGTGGATGTCAACATCAGAACCTCCCCACCTCATGACACAATGTAATCTTATGTCAGTTCAAAATTCTACTAATAGTTGGGCAAACCAAGGCATTACTCACGTAAGTGGGAAGTGGGGTAAAGGCTCCCAAGGAGAAGCCTGTGGTATGAGTGAACTGTAGACAATGGACAAAAATCAACAGTAAAAAGCAGCCTATATTGTTCAATTTTAAAGGTTTGTTTGGCTTAGTGAAATACAACGCTTTCTAAAAGCCAATACAGCTAATTCTCAAGATCTTCCCAGTCTTACTGAAAGCTGACTGCAAATCACCAAAGCACACAGAGACGAAACAGAAGCTGTGTTCTCGATTATTTCCAAATACACAAAATCATCCACAAAGATGTGTTCTTTTGGCAAGTGACATGGCAATTTGGTGTTCATTTCTAGTGCCAACTGCAACCAGTTGTTTCTTCTGAGTCTTTAAACTTAGGTCTTGAAACTGAGCTCTTCATTTCCCTGTCTTCTGCTTTTGCTTCCCCCATATTTGCTGCCAAAGTTACAGTTTACCACCCACACAATGGCCAAGCCGGAACCTGGGAGTCATCACGGGCTCCTCTTTCTGTATTTCAGTGCCTACCCTCCAAGTCCCATCGATTATGTATTCTGAATATTAAATTTAGCCTCCCCTCCATCCCTTACACCACCACCAGAGGTCACGTCCTCATCCTCACTGGTTTCTGTACCCTAATTTTGTGTTCTGTCAACACTCCTGCCTACCCTTCTGAAGTTTTTTTCTGGAGTTCATGTTACTCAAATATGAACATACCATCTCCCCACATATTCTTTAACAACTTTGTGCCTTTACTCTTGTTTCTCTTTTGCCTGTAATGTTCCCTCCTGCCATGTTCTTGCTGACCAGCTTTTTCTGTCAAGCCCTTTCTGACTTTATCAGACTGAGTTAGGTGTTTCCTTTTCTGTGCTTCTTATACACCTTGTACATAACTCTACTAGAGGGTTTGCCACAGTGTCGTCACTGTTTGTTTACATGTTGGTCTTCTCTCCTGACCTATGCATGAAGGGTGAGCTCCTTATCCTGTTCAATGCTATATTGCCTACGCCTGGCACTCAGAAGGGCTTAAAACGTTGATTTAGACTAAATCAGTGATTCTTCAACTACTCACTGGAATTGCCTGGGGAATTTTTTAAAAGACTGAGGCTTGGATCTACCCCAGACCAATTCAAATTGAATTTCTGATGGCAAACCTAGGCACCTGAATTTTTTTTAAACTTCCCTATTGATTCTGATGTTGTTAGTCACTGAAAACCACTGTGCTAAATTATTTCTCAGGAAATGCTAGTTAAAACAGCACCAAGAACACATGAAGTTTGAGGATCTCCTGTGAGTTTTTATTTTTTAAAAGGACACTGTATTAATTATCTATGGCTGAGTAAAAAATTACTCCCATATTTAGCAGCTTAGAATAACCGAAACTGATTATCTCACAGCTTCTCTTGGTCAGGAATAGGGGCACAGCAGGGCTCAGGGTTTCTCAGGAGACTGCATTTGTGGTGCCAGCTGGAGCTGCCATCATCTCAAGGCTTGACAGTGAAGGAGAACTTCCGTCCAACTCCACATGTGTGGTTATGGCAGGGTTCGGTTCCTCATTGTCTGGTGGCCAGAAGCCCTCCTCAGTTCCCCTGCCTCTCCATAGGGCAGCTCACAGCTTGGGAATCTGTTTCCATTAAAGTGAGCAAGTGAGAGAGCCAGGAGAGGGTGAGCTACATGGAAGCCAGAATCTTCCTGTAACCTAATCCTAGAAGTGACACCCCATCCTGTTGCTGTATTCTATTCATCAAAAGTATATTATTTGGTCTACCCCAAACTCAACGGGAGAGAACAACAACAAGGGCATGGATGCCAGGAAGTAGGGATCATTGGGAGCCGTCTCAGAAGCTGCCTACCACAGACATTTAATGATACTTGGCTTAAAAATTAACCTACCTTAAAGGAATCCCAACCAGACTGCCTTAACATTAGGAGCACGCACATCATTGGTTTCCTTGTAAAACTGATCCAACCTGCTTTAAAAGAGATGAACCAGAAGTAAACTGACAGGTATACTTTCTAATAATAAATTTATATTTTTTGTTTTATTATATAACTATAGATATATTAATTGAAGGCCATTTATACAAGACAATATCAAGGGAGGTCAGTTTGCATAACTCCAGGCTTCACATAGCCTTATGAAGTATGTCAATGTGTTTTTCAAAGATAGTGCTCCTTTCTTTTCCCGAACATCTTCCCAGTCATACAAATTCACAGAAAATAGGCCACTTTAAGTATTTAACATAAATTTTGTTTTTAGTGAAGGGCAGGCAACAGTAAATCTAAAGGTAAAATACCAAGCAAAAAAGGCAAGTTAATGCACAGGCTTTACGCTGATCAGAGTAATCAATTTTAATTTTATTTCATATTTTAGAGGGAAAAGCCAATGTATTGGACAATACTGAATACTGATCTTAATAACCAAAATTTAAGCCTTCCTTAAAGATCCCATCAATACGAAAGACTTCAGTTGTCTTCGGACTACTCACCATTTAATGCTAAGATGGCAAGTTGAAATGGCTTAACAATATTTAGTAAAACAATACAATGTAATAAAAGCAAAAGTATCTGTGTCAAGACACAAATGACTTGCATCCTTGAACCTGATGTGAACAGCACATTTACACGAAATCCTAAACTTTAATTTATATTCCAACTACAAAATGCCATCTCCCAAAAATCAACTGGTTTTTGGTGCAGAGAGAAAGTGCTAGCCTTCCAGATTAAGAGTACTCCCTTTGATAGCACCTTTCTCCTTGAATCATTTCCTAAATATTTGTTCAAAAATATTAGTAGCCCATAAAACCTGATGTGATTTTTAAAAGGGTATGATCATAATGCAAGGTTATAAAAAATGTAACTGAGAAATTGTGTTTTAAGTACTTTATACATGGGCAGAAATGATTATGAACAATCTATGTAGCTTGCTTTTCAAAAGATAAAATAGCACCACTGAGGGGAAATCCACCCTTTCCTTTAGCTGAAGCAGCAATTTTTCATGACTTGATTATATTAAGACATGGAAGATAAAGCCATGATCAGCTACTATTACCCAACATAAACAATTGTTTCAACCACTGTGAGTTACAGCAGCCATGAGGATTAATGCTAGTGACCTGGACTGTCGAAGCCCTTTAACCACTCATTCCCTGAGCCATTCAATGCTCATGGCCTAGACATACTTATTTGGGGCTTAAGTTTGAACTGATTAATCTTACTTAAAAGATGGCTTTTTAGCTGCCAAACTGAAAGGCTGGTTGAAAACAGACGGGTCATCTAAAAATTTAGTAAGTTTTTTTTTTTTTCCCCCCACAGTAGTATGAGTTAGCAATTCTAAAACTACCTTTCACGCATTCTAACCTTGAGCAAATGAGTAAATATACTGAGGATAATGGTAGCCAGGTTTCTTTCTGTTGATGGAGTTACAAATATGAAAAAACAGAAGACTAAAAAGTAGTGATAGACTGGAATTGATGGTACCAGTATAACCTGGTAGTTTTTAATAGGTACAGAGATATAGATATTTGTATGCATATTCGTCTGCTGAGAGGAACTACAAGCAATGACACATGAGAAGCAATGAGCAAACCTAGCACTCAGCTCATGGTTCCTGGATACCATTTTCCATGAAAAGCAAGCAGAGCTCCTTGAAGAAATGATTGATTCCAGGGCTGGGGCAGGGAAAGTAAAAGATGAGCTGAGAACATCTGGTTGTACCAAAAAGTAAGAAAGGGCTTAAATGATGAGGACATGACACATCTGGGGCTCCTGACACACAAAGGACACATCCTGGCACTCCCATTGATCAAATCTAGGACAATGAGAACATCAAAATAAATAATGATGGTAATGGATTTTAATGTTAACCAAGAAGCCATGAATCCATCTGTTATAAATAAATGAGTGAAGGAGAAGGGAAACATTTCCTTTTATCAGAATGTCAACAAATAAATATAGATGGAATGATGGAGTTAGAAAATCTGTCACTCAGTTGGATAGGGACTGGGGGGATGGACAGGTTTGTGTCCCGTGGTCAAGTGTTCAGTCTCTTCAGGGCACAGTGATATACCAAGAGCTGTTTCTCAATGGGCATACAATTATCTGCTGCAGATGGCATGACAGTGCTTCAGAATCCCAAGGGTCTGTGTCATGATTCTTCCACTAGACTTGCCATAAATTCCACACCACATCTTTTCCCATCACTGACACCACTAGGATCTGCTGGATCATATGGTCCAACTGTTAGTCAGGGCTGCTTGCATTGAAGCCTGGAATTGTCACAGAGCCCTTTTCTGTTCTGGGTCCTATTTAAAGGGGGCAGCCTTCCATGTCACTTGGTACCTAAGCCAGAGCTTTTCCTAGTTGTAGAATGTGTTGATTCCAGAAGCAAAAGAGGCCTACAAAGTGCCCTACCTCCTTCTTTGTGGTAAAGGCTGTAAGAGGCAGCAATTTGTCTTTCACTTTGGAGGGGATATCCTGATACTCCTCTGACTGCTGGACCTCTAAAAACTTTACTGAAGTGGCTGGTCCCTGAAGCTTCATAGTGTTTATCTCCCATCCTCTGGAGTGTATGTATCTTACCAAGGTCTTCGGCATACTAGCCACCTCTTGCTCATGTGTCCAGTCAGCATGATGTTGTCAGTAAAATGGACCAAAGTAGTGTTCTGAGGGATATTTAAGTGGTCCATATTTCTTCATATTATGACAGGATGGGAGAGTTAACACAGCCCCAAGGCAAAATTCAGTCTAAATGAATATCGCTGACTGTTCTTCATGAATGTGAACTGTTTCTGATACTCTTTTCCAGTTGGAATGGAAAAAAAAGTATAGCCAAATCAGTGATATACCATGTATCTGAGCCCTTATTAAATCTGTTCTACCAGAGTCCAGCACAGAAAGTCCACTGTGATCAGGGTCTTCACTTGGTTAAATCCATAGTATATAGTCATTCTCCAGGATCCATCCAGTTTCTTTAGGGTCCAGACTGGTAAATCAAAAAACTAGGATTGGGATTAGCACCCCTGTGTCCTTTAGGTCTTAAAGGATCAGTGGCACTAATCCTCACCATTGCCCTAGGATACAATATTTTGCCTGACTTACTATCTTGGAAGGAGCGATGGGAAGTTACAGAGGGCTCCATTTGGCAGTCCCCACTATGCTAACTCCTACCTCCACAGACCTGGAAACCAGTGCAGCAGTTACTCCCACTGCCACAAATATAAATTCCAATTATGCACTTGGGGACTGTGAAATGACCACTGGGTGGGTCCATGGACCCAGTGGGCCCACTGTGAGACTAACTTTAGCAAGAACACCTGGTCTGGTAGGCTCCCATTCTAACAGTAAAGCTGTGATGTTGCTTTACATCTCTGGGTATAAACATCAATGCTGATCCGTGATCAATAGTCTTCAAAATACCCGATTATTCTTTCCCCAGGGTACGGTCACTCAAATAGATAGCCCTAGAGTCCTTTGAGAAGAATTGCCATGCACTTATGTACTTGCCATGGTGTGGTAGGGTTCTTCCTCCTAGGAACCTATATTTCCTAGGAGGAAGAACTAGGTTCATATTTCCTATATGAACCTATATTTCATATATTCAGTTCTGGATCTGAAAATTGTCTTAGGTCTGGGAACTAAGCAAGGGAATCATGACTTTTTATTGCAATTACTGCCCTCAGCCTCCAGCTCCTCTATTCTTGCTTTATATAGTAACAGACGTTAATGAGCACCCTTGTGGACTGCCCATCTATTTTCCCCCTAGGGAGACTATTCTCTATTAGCCGTCTCCACAACTCCTTTGAGTCAAGCTCCTTTGGCTGCAATGACCTTGCCAGTCATTATGGTAATTGTGGCCTTCTAGCTTCTGCCAGTTAAGCAACACCACCTGGCCTCTTTTTCTTCAGGGCTCTATTATTCCCATGGACGCTAATGAGCCAGCTCTGTGGCTGCTTCTCTTACCTCCATCCCTGGCCTGCAAACTTCTTAGTGATGTTGGTGCCTCTCTCACCACTGTTTTCCTGATGGCCTTGGGTGAATGGTGTATCCTCTGGGCACATTCATGGAGCATAATCCTCTGATGCGTCTTCTGTTCTGGCATGCCCACTTTGCTCAGCGTCTTTATTCCTTCCTCTATAGTCTGCCAGTACTACTCAGACATTTTTCACTTTGCTGAGAACTGGCTGTATTTTTCTAAAAGCCATCCCATTATTAGCAAGCTTCCCCTGAACACTAGGGTCTGACTTAGTTTGTGTTACTGTTAACAGAAGACCACAGACTGAGTGACTTAAACAACAAACTTTTATTTCTCACAGTTCTGAAGGCCGGGAAGTCCAAGACGGAGGTGCTTGCAGATTTGGTGTCTGGTGAGAGCCCATTTCCTGGTTTGTAAACAGCTGTCTCTTTGCTGTGTCTTCACATGACAGAAGGGACAAGTTAGCTCTCTGGGGCCTCTTAACCTCCAAATCACATTGGGGATTAGGTTTAAACATATGAATTTTGGGGAGACACATTCAGTCTATAGCAGAATTCTTGCTGGGGTGTTAAATCCCCCATACATGAGAAAGTGCGCCCAAGTCAATGATTTCTTATTCATCTAATCCCATATTCTCACCCCTTTGAAAAAACACCTTTAAAATCCAATCCCAGGAGTCCTTTCCTGGTTCCTGCCAGTAACGTCAGTTAAACCATGGAATTTTTTAGGAGAATAGTCTCTTTCCTTCCTTATCAGGCCCAGCATGTCCCAGCTGGGTTATGCTGGGATTTACCAGTGACTGGATTTGTTATTGGTTAATTATTGGCTTGACAGCCGGGAAAGAAAGAGGAGGGCAGTGTTGGGGAGGAGGGCTACTGCCTTGGGGGCAAGGGGCTTCTTCAGCATCTTCCAGCACAGCAAATATTCTAGTTCTCACTAGAGAAAGGTTACTACCACTGCAAGCCCTGAGAGTCCAGGAGTCACAGGGGCATCCATTGGATGACCCCATCTAATGTTTAGGATTCTAGGTTTCCCCACCTTCACGTTAACAGACCCATCCTGGCAAAACATTCAATGCTCAAATGTCTTTGGAGCTCTGTGACATCAACAATCAGCTTGCAGTTCAACCAAGTCTTGTCTTTCAATGGTGACAAGGCCCTCTCTATAAGCTACCACAGAGGCTCTACAGCTCTCACACTTAGCTGTTAACTGTTAACTGCTTGTTAACAGCTCTGTTTCTCATTTTCCTTCAGCAGTGCTCCAATACAACTTAGCAGTAATCAGCCAACTCTTTCTTTGTAGGTATTATTCCTCCCATATTTTTCAAATAACTGCATAATCACACCTACCACAGTTCCCCTCCACTAGGACATTGTCTCAAGTCAACACTGGTGAAACCTTAACAATTTATCTGTAACTTTACGCCAGGGGTGGTGAGTGCCCCATCTACCCACCAGGGTGGCATCTTCTGGCCAGGTAATGAACCTGTTCTGAATCCCACTTTTACCATCCCAGAGGCCAAGATGGGATTAAATGTGTAAGATTTTTATTAGAGGAAATATCTGTGAGAGAAAATGGGGAAGGAGCTGGGCAAGACTGGGTAAACTGTCACACCATGATGCAAGTCTGACCCCAAGTGAAAGAGAGAGGGGAGGAAGACTGGGTAGAAGTGTCCTAGACTGCAGTGTAGCCTATGGAAGGCTTGGCAAGACAATTGGAGGAGTCCCTGACCACTCATTGGCCATGAGAGGAGTCTTCTGTCTCCCAGAAGCAGGCCTTAGTATCTCTACTACGCTCAGTCACTGAGCTATGAAAGAAGCAAAGAGTTAGCAAAACAGTGATGGATTTCTGAGCACAGCAGCTGGGGCCCTTGGACAATTAAGCTCCTTAGAGCGGGAGTCTGTGAGGTGCATTCTCATAGCCATCTCTTCATCCTAGCAAGAGGCAGAACTGGGATTCAAACCAGGTAGTTTGGTTCCAGTCTATATGTCAACCACTGCAGTAAGAAGGTATCTCTTAGAGCTGCAGAGGTCTGAAATAAATGGTCCTCTATCATGTCGAAAATTTACACAGCAGGTGGGACCAGACTGGTAGGAATCATTACACTCCTCTAAGGAGTTTGTACTTCATTCTACAGACAGTAAGGAGGGGAGAGGGGCACATCACAGATTACTGTATATGAATATATTCCATATGCATTGCATACACACATGAATAATTTATAGACCCATATGTAGCTTTAGTTTCTTGTGGTATAAAAAGGTTTAGCAGACTTGAAAACAACTGCAACAGTGATTCCTGGACTGCATATATGGTAAGATGGTCAGAAAGTGCTGACAAAGCATTCACATCGTGTAGGAAATAAAAACTTGAAAAAAAAATGGACTCAGACAAATTCATTTTCACTATTTACAATCATTATCACTTTTTATAAAATCTTACTGTGGTACAGGGGATCAAAATTTCATTTAATTTTTACTATTTTATTACTAGTATTGAGAATTATCTTCTACCATTTTTATGCAGAGACACTCTTTCCACTTATGCTGTGTGTCAAATAGCCATAAATAACCACTATTTATAACATAATTCCCTGGGAATCTGTGTAAGCTCCCAACAATCAATTTACAAATGAATTCTATAGAATTCAACCTCTTATAAAAAAGAGGCTACATGTTTATTAACTAGTTAGTATTGCAAAAAACAGGTATTATTAATTCTACTTTATGGACACAGGAACCTAGGCACAAAAATATTAAATTATTTCTTTGGTCCACACAACATGATCAAATATGAACCTAGAACAAGAGATTAAGTCAGATTCTTATACACCTATACTCATTAACAATACAAGTCTACAACTGCAGTAAGTCCTACAATAGAATATTGAAACTTAGAGATGAAAAGAATCTCAGGAGGACATTGGTCCAACTTTCTGTATGAAGGCAGGTATTATCATCTTATTACAGAGAACAGAAAATTAGTTGATCAAGGTCAATTCTAACAATTAAGAAAAATTCAAAGCCTCTAGAAACTCATCATATGCACCACTATTATTTATTACACTTCAAGGGGACATATGTGAATCAGAAAGGAGTTTTTGGATTTCAGACTGTTTCACTTCCTGACTTAAGTGTAAAAACATAAACTGTGAACTCAGCAAAAGCAATTTATGAATTTGGGACTACGATATGTGTCTAAATGATGGTTTAGGGAACTATATTTATAGCCTGGCACCAGTAAATTTTTGTTCACTTCTAAATCTAGATTCCAAATATACACATTATACTCTGAGGGCTATTAAAGGCACAAGATAGCTTTCAGAATTAAGACTTTGGGATGCAGTTCCACACAATGATTTCCTATGTTCCCTAGTTCTGAATGATATGATTATAGTACAAGATTTTAAAATAAACATAAAAGTTAGAAGCAGTAGAAGAATTTTACTAGCAAATAACTACTTGTTACATATCAAACATCTTTGTAATGTTCTGGGTTTCAAACGCTTGATCTACAGGCATAGTATATATACTGTGCCTTATTTCACCAGGGACTGGAGTAATCTTACTACATGAACATATACAATAATGACAGGTACAAAATATCTGTCCTAGGAAAAATATATTTAAAAAGAAATGCAAGTATGCAAGTCAGGATGGATGTTAAACATGAATTTCAAATTTGGCTCTTGAGCTTCCGGTCAAATCAAAGACAGGCAAAATTCTTCCTATGAAAAAGTGGCTTCCAAAACATTTTTTAGAATCACATTCTAAAATATCTTATATGGGACTTTATATAAAGGGCACTGTATGACACAGAGGACAACATACCTGACAATATCATACAGCAAATATGGTTGTTTGATATGGTTACTTCAAGTAGCTTGCTTAGGTGAAGGTGGAATGTTTAAAATTAAAATGTTACTCAGCAAAGGTGATGGTGCTAGGGGCTGCTTTTGCAATACACATTGTTTTTACACTGAAGGATTCTTTTTATTTATTTATTTACATCTTTATTGGAATATAATTGCTTTTCAATGCTGTGTTAGTTTCTGCTTTATAACAAAGTGAATCAGCTATATACACTGAAGGATTCTTATACGTGGATTAGTTTTCTCAACTGGATAGCAACTCCTATTTAATGGCTACGAGACCCTAGCACAGAAATTAAAGGTGACTTGACACGGCTAATATTATTACATCATTTAGGGATAAGCCTAATATTTGAACTTCTAGATTCAGCAGGAAAGCTTACTGTCTCTCATGACTTTAACAGGACTGCAATCCAAGGCTTCAGAAGAATTTACTGGAAACTTTACCCTTCCAAAAGGGTGCCCTCTAATTACAGGGTATTAGTTTGCTGCATATGCATGTATAGTACATTCTGGAGATACAGAATTGTAAATAGTTTCAGTGTTCAAAAAAGCAGAAACACCCAATTTTTAATATTATGTGAAAAGACTTCTATAAAGTACCCAAAGCAGCAATACATATCACTCAAACACACTGAAATGTTTCTTAAACGTGCAGAAAAGGCCATAGGCAGCAAGGAATAATCAACAAGAGAAGCATCTGCTATCTAATCTTTCTTTTGCAATCTGAAGCTGGGAAATATCTAGAGAGGGCATCTAGCCTGCATATACACACCCCATTTTCAAAGATCTCTATTTAGATCTCTTGTCTAGCTTGTTCTTATCTTAAATCTTAGCACCTACAGTCTAGGACTAATTCCTTTTATCTTATCAATGAAGATGATGAATCACTATGTTCCTTTAACATACTTTTACATACTTGGAAAGACTTAAGCAACTAGTTTTCTTTCATTAACAAAATAACCACAATTATTTTTATCTTTCCCTAACATCTTATTTACTAATCTTTAGACCTATTCTTACTGAGGCAACCCTTATTACTTTCAAAACATACAATAACTGTTTGGTACTTTAACACGAGCTTTACAAGTTCCCAGGATTTAGATTATTTCATGATTCATTCAAACACTAAGTTTTATTTGTAAGTGGCAATGCTCTATCTTGGAATCAATTATTCAAAACAATATTCTTTCTAGGTACTGTGGTAACTGATCTCATATAGCTTACATTCTAGTGGGAAAAAATAAACAATAAACAAGATGTCAGACTGAAGTGTTTTGAGAAAAATAAAATAGGGGTAGAGAGGGTTTTTGTGAGGAGGTATCATCTGATTTGAAACCTCTAGGAAGGTAGCAGTCCTGCAAAGATAATGTTCCAAGCAATTTTTGGCTAAGGCAGGTTTAACTAATTATTCTGATACACACACACACACACGTATGTATATCTCCTTCTGAATTATATGACCTTTCACTGCTCCCTACTGAATCTTCTTGTTCTTATTTTGAAGATAAATTCTATCTTTTAAAAGCTTTTCATTACCTCCTTAACTGGTATATCCCATAAAGTTTAAGAAGCATGCCTTCTAATTTAGACAAGTATTTCATAATAATATTAGCCAATTATTTCATTTAGGATGTGCTTTTGCCAAATTACATTTAACAATGGGTGAAAAATAACAATATTTGAAAAAACAAAAGGCATGTTACTGGATAGGCCTAAATGAATTTTTCAGAATACTTTGGTGATGCTTTCTTTGTAGGCAAAATAGGCTGAAAGCAAACTGGCAGAGTATGACCCATTCAGAAGATGAAGCTGAAGGGAGGGTGGAAAGTTGAGTGAATCACTGATGGGTTGGTCTAATAGCAGTGAAAGTGCCCAAAAGAGAAGTAGAGATTGATAGATAGGTCGTGTATGTGGGATGAAGAAGCAAATCAACTGGCAAGGCTGGAGAAAACCTTCTACACCACACTAACTCTTTGAGACATGCTGCCACCACCTGGGCAACAGACAATTTTGAAGTATGGGAAGATTTTAGTTGTGATTATTAGTTAAAATTAACAATTACAGATTTAAAAAATTACTTTCATTTTATGAAATCAGCATTTTTGTCTAGTCTTTGACATTAAAAAAAACAAGCAGGGATTTTTGGGGCCAGATCTGTTTAGAATTCTGCCCTACTTTTTAAGTCTCTGGTTCCTTATCTGTAAAATAGGTATAAGAATATCATCCTACAGAGTTGTTTAGTCTAAGGATTAGTGATAACAGATACAAAGCATCTAACCTAGGACCTGCTACACAGTAAGTATTCAATAAATAGCCTTTAAAAATTATTATTCTGGAATATGGTCTTCCAAATGTTACTAAAACCCAACTATTACTTTTTAAATTACATAAATATACCTATTAAGAAATGTATCTGCATTGTGGTTATTTTTTGCGATACGCGGGCCTCTCACTGTTGTGACCTCTCCCGCAGAGCACAGGCTCTGGATGCGCAGGCTCAGCGGCCATGGCTCACGGGCCTAGCTGCTGCGCAGCATGTGGGGTCTTCCCAGACCGGGGCACGAACCCACGTCCCCTGCATCGGCAGGCGGACTCTCAATCACTAAGCCACGAGGGAAGCCCTGCATTGTGTTTTAATGGTAGGAAAAACTCAGAAATAAAACTTAGGGGAGAAACCAATTCTATCAAAGTAAGTCAAATACGTGAAACGTTACTGCAGGAAATAAGCACAAATTGTTCAGCAGGTAAGGAAGCTCTTAAAATCTTTAGTTAACTCTAGATTATTATAATAGAATCTTATTCAGGCTTTACTCATTCACCATTTTGACATCAGTCAGGGTGAAATGTAACTTTGTATCATTCAAGAGAAAAAAGAGTTTTAAACAAACTAATGAAAGACTAGGACTTCCTTTCTTAAGAGGAAAAAAGCTCAGAAATTTTTAAGGCTCCATTTTCTTTTTTTTTTTAATTTTATTTCATTTTTTATACAGCAGGTTCTTATTAGTTATCTATTTTATACATATTAGTGCATATATGTCAATCCCAATCTCTCAATTCATCCCACCACCACCACCTCCCCCGCCACCTCTTTCCCCCCTTGGTGTCCATACATGTGTTCTCTACATCTGTGTCTATTTCTGCCTTGCACACTGGTTCGTCTGTACCATTTTTCTAGATTCCTCATATATGTGTTAATATACAATATTTGTTTTTCTCTTTCTGACTTATTTAACTCTGTATGACAGGCTCTGGGTCCATCCACCTCACTACAAATGACCCAATTTTGTTCCTTTTTATGGCTAAGTAATATTCCATTGTATATATGCACCACATCTTTATCCATTCTTCTGTCCACGGGCATTAGGTTGCTCCCATGACCTGGCTATTGTAAATAGTGCTGGAATGAACACTGGGGAGTAAGGCTCCATTTTCAAAATATAACTGCAATAGAGTAACTAGTGCAGATGGTGATGTGATATGCTACAAAGGAATTATTCTTATGCAAAGACAAACCCTCCTTAATTAATAGTGCAAGCTTTAGTTACTTTGGTTAACGCTACACAAACGGTTAAGATTTTATTTCTTAAAAATAAATACAAGCAGACCTTATTTCCTTGTTATTCTAAGTTGATATTCTGAAACACATTTGCAAGAGAATAAAAAGCCAATTAAGGATCTTTCAAATAAAGACTAAGCCTTTAAGAAAACTGGCTATGGTATTTCCACTAAATTCCTTATTCTGCTGCTGCTTATGAAGCCGAAGTCAGAAAAATGGCCAAATCCAGTCCAATCAACAGAATTTTCAAGCTGAAAGAACCCCAGAGATAACCTAATAGCTTTCCACATACACAAGAGGAAACAGGCTCAGAGTGACTGATCAGAGTATCAGATCAGCAGAGACAAGGCCTATGAATCTCAACTCCCAAGCTGAGACTCCTCTAGAAAGTATTCCGCAGCATCTGAACCAATCTTGATGCCACCTTTCATTAAGGCAATGCAGGTAGCAGTAGGGAGCTCAGCTGTGGCAACCGCTACGCTATTCCTGGGCTTTCAGCCTGCCCTGGAACTGGAAGCTACATCAGTAATATTAGACAGTGAAAACCTGATTTACACTAGAGCCAAAGACCTACCGAGGCTTCCTTCTTCTGTGCCTTTTATTCCGGCCCAAGACTCCTATGCATTTCACAAGGGATGCAGCAGAGTGAGCTACAGGGGAGGCAATAACGAGGAAAACTGTCTAACCGTGATTAAAACAACATACGCAGGGCTTCCCTGGTGGCGCAGTGGTTGAGAGTCCGCCTGCCGATGCAGGGGACACGCGTTCGTGCCCCGGTCCGGGAAGATCCCACATACCGCGGAGCGGCTAGGCCCGTGAGCCATGGCCGCTGAGCCTGTGCATCTGGAGCCTGTGCTCCGCAACGGGAGAGGCCACAGCAGTGAGAGGCCCGCGTACCGCAAAAAAAAAAAAAAAATAATAATAATAAAATAAATAAATAAAACAACATACACATATTGGTCTCTGGAGTGAAGGACGTTAAAATAAATTCTGACCCTCTCCTGGAGTTACTATTTGGGCAAGTTTACAAAACCACATAGAGTTACCATCAGCAAGTCAAGTTTTCAGTACACACAATCCAATGACTGAGTCTTATTCTGGCTACTAGAGGTACAGGATAGGTCCAAGCAGCACAAGCTTTGAAACCATCATCCAAGTTTTCAAACAAGAATGAATAAGAAAACAACTGCTGCTAATACAACATACAAACATTAACATATGCCCAACAAACAGTATTTTACATCATTAGCTTATTTGCCAAAAGCCTGTTCCCTGGTAAATAATAGTTACTGTTATACCTAAACTAGTTATACATGTCAAAACTTGCGCCTCAAAGAGAACATTCTATAGCATTTCAAGAATAAAAACCTGCTTTATTTGGCACGCAACAGTGAAGAGCTCTTGCAACATTTGAAGAGGTAGTCAAACAGAGCAGTTCAGTGCAAGAGACCACAAAATCTGATCACCAACCAAACCAGAGTTAATCTCTCAGTTCCTTTAGTTTAGAAGACAATATATTAACTCACTCTTTCTGCTTGTTGACTTTTGAATCCCTTTATTTGTGTATTGGAAGAACAAGTACCTCGGTGGGAACTCTACGCCCAGTTTAATTATTTATCAAGTTTACTCTGGGCAAGTATCGATCATGCTTTTGTGAAAGAGTTAAGTTCTTAAATTAAAAACCCCTCTTCACACAGCATGGCTGCATTTTCCCTTAATAACAAGGTTCGATGGACCCACCACGGTCCAGCTGCTGCTTTGTCTCCTCGACGTGAGGCGTTAACTATTGTCCAACCCGAAGATGAGAAGGTCAAAGAGTGGAGTGTGAACCCGAGGAACTCGCTAGAATCCTTCAAGAGTCGCAGTGTCACCCTCACCTTGACTCTGGGCGGTTTGTGGGAACCAACTCCTTTCTTGCCGCCGCTCTCTGGCTGAAGTTTCCCAGGGTCACGGACCTTACCCACCGGGGCCCTCCACCCACGGCCGGGCTCCTGCAGGGGAGCGGCTGTTCCCCGGCTGACTTCGGGGGCAAAGGTAGGGGGCCCTCCGTGCTTCCGGACCAGCTCCCGAAGGCCGGAGCCCACCCGAGCCTCAGGCAAGACGCCGCCCCGACAGAAGGCACGAGACTCGGGATCCGAGCCAGCGACCAGCCGGGCGCCGCCGCTAACTCCACGTGGCCTCACCTGCCGCTCCCCGGAAACCCGGGCGCCGCCCCGCCCTCCCCGCGTGCTCGAAGTCCGGGTCCCGGGCCCCACACAGCAATGGCGCAGCCGGAAACTGGCCCCTCGACTTCCTCAGGCCGGATCCAGGCAAGGGCCGGCCTGTGGGCGGGTCGGGAGAGCCGCGGCTTCCGCCTTCCTGCTTCCGGCCTGGAGGTTAGTTGGGAGTTGGGGGTACGAACCCACAGTTTCGGGTGCGCTGTAGGGGAGGCCGGTGGTGGCCGCAGCCGCAGTTTTGCCCCCGTGCCCGGCGGAGGCGGCCACGGCGCCGACGGCCCAAGGTGTGGCGGGGACGACCTCTGATTCCCGGGGGCCGCCCGTTGTGCGAGCTCCGCCGGGCCCGCGCTCGCCGAGGTGGAGGGTCTGGGGAGCGTGGCCCCAGGGGCGGGCGGCCGGGTGCGGTGAGGAAGGAAGGGGGAGCGAGAAAAACACAAGGAAGGAGGGGAAGTGCGGATGGCTGTGAGGTGCCATCAGCTGCAGCTTTAGGCGCCGCGCGGGTCTGGCCCGGAGATCAAGCCCGGCCGATCCTTCTCGGAAGGAAGAAAATATTCCTTGGAGTGTGGGAGGCGCGTGCGCTTGGGGTCCGAAATTGAGGTGCATGGGAGGTTTGTGTCCTGTGGACGGTAACTCCTTTCTCTGTGTTAATGGCTAAAACTCGGCCATAACCGGGTCCTTCACTTCCGCTTTACTCTTTATTGCAAAGTTCTTTTGCTCATCTCTGAATCTTGCATTAGTTAATTCATTACTGGGTTGGAGAAGCTGAAGAAACAGATGGATATCCGTAGAGCCTGGGCTCGACTGTGTGGGTGGGAGCCTACGAATGGGGTGGGGAGGCTAGGATATTTAACGATATCTTAGGTACTTTAATGTGTCTTCAGTTGAAAATATGAAGAAGTTGAGATAGGATGTAATTAAAACCAGTCATGGTAGTTTTATGTAGGTGATGGGATTGTGGGTGATATATATTTTGTTTTGCTTATCTGGGTTTTCTATAAAGAACACAAACTGTATAATAGGGAGACAAAAAAAAACCTTTTAAGAGTAAAGCGGTGTTTGATTTTGCGATTGTATACTTAACCCTATAAACAAATAATTGACTTTTTTAGTATAAAAAGTTCAAGATCTGGGAATGGATATGCTGTAACATATCAGTGAGCTAACTTATTTTATATGTTGGTGAACTTCGTAAATAATTTTATTTTTGAAGTAATTTAGTAAAATATTTGATCTCCAGTAACTAGGATTTTCTTACAGGGCATTTACCATTGTGTAATTATTTCTTTCTTAAAATTAGAAAGCAATAGATATTAAATGTATTTAATGTGCCAGGCGATTTTACATGTCATTTATAGGTTGCATATAGAGAATTTACCATTTAAAATTGTATTATAATTATTCCTTAAAGTTGACTTTTAACGTTTTTCTTTTATCTATTCTTTTCAACCCAACCAGTATATAGAATTTAAGCATTCTCTCAGAAGTGTATGGTAGAGCTAAAGAAGACAGCCAACCAAGGGTCATCTGAAATTGTGATTGGCTAATAATCCCAGGACAAAGTTAGAGATCACTACTCAAAGCATAAGGTAGATGATTTTTTAAATCCCAGCTGAAATTTTAAGTGACTGTATATACACCCATTCCTCCCCAGGTATTCTGATTCTCCACTTTGAAT